CAGGTACTCAAAGTTCAATACACTGTGATCACTCATTCCCAAGGGTGCTTCCATCTTAACTTCCATTATATCCCACTCATTTAGGGTAAATATCAAATCAAGTATTGCTGGTTCATCTTCTCCTCTCATTCTTGTTGGTTCCTTGATGTGCTGGCTTAGAAAGTTTCTTGTTGCCACGTCCAGCAGCTTAGCTCTCCATGTTTCTGGTCCTCCATGCGGGTCTCTGTTCACCCAATCTATCTTCCCATGGTTGAAGTCATCCCATAATTATTAGTCCAGATCCATTCCTGCTAGCAACAGAAACTGCTCTCTCTATTATTTTAATGGTGGCAATGTTGTTTCTATCATATTCCTGTCTGGGTCTTCTGTCATTTGGTGGTGGATTACATATGACTACTACTATAATTTTTTGCCCTCCAGTTGTTATGGTACCTGCTATGTAGTCACTGAAACCTTCACAGCCCTGAATAACCATCTCAAAATCCCAGCCTTTTCTTACCAGCAGAGCTACACTACCACCACCTCTTCCTTCCCCCTCTTTCCTCATAACATAATAGTCCTGTGGGAACACTGCGTTTGTTATCGTTTTTGTTAGCTTTGTTTCTGTGAGGGCTATTATGTCTGGGTTTTCCTCTAGTACCCATTCTCCAAGCTCATTTGCTTTATTTGTAATTCCATCTATGTTATTGTACATTACCTTGAGGCTCACTTTCTTCTGTCCCTTCTCAAATCGCCTCCTTGGTGAGTGTTCTGCTGGTGGGGGAAGCTGTTCCATGAGTGTGAGGATCTGTGAGGTGGATAACAGGGTCTCAGAGGATACTTGGATGAGGGGCGGGGGATCCAGTGAAGGGGGGAGGGACAGTGAGGGTATGAGGTGAAAGGAGAGGGAGGACAGGAAGGAAAGGGAGGGAGGGGGGACTTGGCGGGAGGAGGGGAGGGGTAGAAGGGTGGGGATTGGGTGTGGGGGGAGGGGTAGAAGATTGGGGATTGGGTGTGGGGGGAGGGAGATTTGGCTGAACATTTGAGTGGGGGCAGGGAGGGTTTGGGGTAGGGGGTTTTCTATGCAGAGGAGAATGGCGGGGTTGTCCTCCCCGCGGGTGTTACTGGGCAGCTGGTTGTGGGTTCCCCCCTCGCCTCTGAGGATGTTGTGTTGGGAGCTGTGACTTCCTGGTTTCCCCTTTCGCCCAGACCCTCTTCCTTGCTTCTGCCGCCATGGCTCTCTCCTCCCTCATCATGTCTCTCTGGAGGAATACATTTTTGAATTCTCCCACCTTCTGCAGGTAGCTCTTCCTTGATAGAACCTTCTCCTTTGTGTTCTCGTTTGCAAACACTATCTTTATCACACAGTCTCGGTCTTTGTTGTACCAGCCTAGCCTGAAAACCTTCTCAATGTTATGCTCAGCCCCTTTCATGTCTAGTGCCTTCAGTATTTCATTCACTGCCACTTTGTCCTTATCATTCCACTCTGTCCTATTGGAGCCTTCCTGCTCTTTAATACCCACAGCAACCATTGATCTGTTCCTTTCCAGTAGCTGGCTAGTGGAGCATGCCGCTTCCTGTGAGGTGGCTGCTTTCATGGCCACCTCCATCATTGTGGACATTACTTCAGAGTTATTTTTTTTAGCATTTCTGCAAATGTTGCTTTTATTGTGGCATTCTCTTCCAAAATACTATTACCAACTTCTCCCTGGATGATTTTCTGAGTCTCAGCAACGATACCATTCTCTTTGAGGGCTCTAATCTCCTCCTTTGCTGCTGTCAGCTCTCTTTTCAGGTTGCTGTGTGTGCGCGCGCATGTATGTGTGTGTGTGTGTGTGTGTGTGTGTGTGTGTGTGTGTGTGTGTGTGTGTGTGTGTGTGTGTGTGTGTGTGTGTGTGTGTGTGTGTATTCACCTATTTGTGCTTGCGGGGGTTGAGCTTTGGCTCTTTGGTCCCGCCTCTCAACCGTCAATCAACTGGTGTACAGATTCCTGAGCCTACTGGGCTCTATCATATCTACATTTGAAACTGTGTATGGAGTCAGCCTCCACCACATTACTGCCTAACTCATTCCATCCGTTAACTACTCTTATCCGTTAAGGGCCTGGTGGATAGCGCGCAGGACTCGTAATTCTGTGGCGCGGGTTCGATTCCCGCACGAGGCATAAACAAATGGGCAAAGTTTCTTTCACCCTGAATGCCCCTGTTACCTAGCAGTAAATAGGTACCTGGGAGTTAGTCAGCTATCACGGGCTGCTTCCTGGGGGTGGAGGCCTGGTCGAGGACCGGGCCGCGGGGACACTAAAAGCCCCGAAATCATCTCAAGATAACCTCAAGATACTCTGGGACTGAAAAAGTTCCTTCTAATGTCCCTGTGGGTCATGTGGGTACTCAATTTCCACCTGTGTTCCCTTGTTCGCGTACCACCAGTGTTGAATAGTTTATCCTTGTTTAGCCGGTCGATTCCCCTGAGGATTTTGTAGGTTGTGATCATGTCTCTCCTTACTCTTCTGTCCTCCAGGGTCGTAAGGGACATTTCCCGCAGCCTTTCCTCGTAACTCATGCGTCTTAGTTCTGGGACTAGTCTAATGGCATACCTTTGGACTTTTTCCATCTTGGTCTTGTGCTTGACAAGGTACGGGCTCCATGCTGGGGCCGCATACTGCAGGATTGGTCTTACATATGTGGTGTACAAGATTCTGAATGATTCCTTACACAGGTTCCTGAACGCTGTTCTGATGTTAGCCAGCCTCGCATATGCCGCAGACGTTATTCTTTTAATGTGGGCTTCAGGAGACAGGTTTGGTGTGATATCAACTCCTACATCTTTCTCTCTGTCCGTTTCATTAAGTACTTCATCTCCTATTCTGTATCCTGTGTCTGGCTTCCTTTTTCCACTGCCTAGTTTCATTACTTTGCATTTACTCGGGTTGAACTTCAACAGCCATTTGTTGGACCATTCACTCAGTCTGTCTAGGTCATCTTGTAGCCTCCTACTATCATCCTTTGTTTCAATCATCCTCGTAATTTTTGCATCATCAGCAAACATTGAGAGAAACGATTTTATATCCTCTGGGAGATCATTTACATATATCAGAAACAGTATAGGTCCAAGGACTGACCCCTGCGGGACTCCACTTGTAACGTCTCGCCAATCTGAGACCTCACCCCTCACACTGACTCGTTGTCTCCTGTTGCTTAGGTACTCCTCTATCCAATGGAGTATCTTCCCATTCACACCGGCCTGCATCTCCAGCTTTTTCACTAGCCTCTTGTGTGGTACTGTATCAAAGGCTTCCTGACATTCCAAAAATATGCAGTCTGCCCACCCTTCTCTTTCTTGCCTGATTTTTGTTGCCTGGTCGTAGAATTCAAGTAACCCTGAGAGGCAGGACCTGCCATCCCTGAACCCATGTTGATGCTGTGTTACAAAGTTCTTTCGCTCCAGATGTTCCACTAGCTTTCTTCGCTCAATCTTCTCCATCAGCTTGCATGGTATGCAGGTTAGAGACACTGGCCTGTAGTTCAGTGGCTCCTGTCTGTCCCCTTTCTTGTATATCGGGACTACGTTAGCTGCTTTCCAAATTTCTGGAAGTTCCCCCCTGTTGCCAGTGATTTGTTGTACACTATGGAGAGTGGTAGGCACAGTTCTTCTGCTCCTTCCTTTAGTATCCATGGGGAGATTCCATCTGGATCTATAGCCTTTGTCACATCCAACTCTAGTAAACACATCCTTACTTCCCCGCTGGTAATCTCAAACTCTTCCAGTGGTTCCTGGTTAGCTATTCCCTCTCTTATCTCTGGGATTTCTCCTTGCTCTAAGGTGAAGACCTCCTGGAATTTCTTATTCAGTTCCTCACACACTTCCTTGTCGTTTGTAGTGAATCCTTCTGCCCCTAACCTTAATTTCATAACCTGTTCCTTTACTGTTGCTTTTCTTTATTTAGGCTGAGTCTTTGCCTTGCTTGCGATGTCATTTTCGTATTGTCTTTCTGCCTCTCTTCTCATCCTGACTTATTCATCCCTGGCATTCTGATATCTTTCTCTGCTCTCAAGTGTCCTGTTATTCCTATAGTTTCTCCATGCCCTTTTACTTTGCTGCTTAGCTAGCCTACACCTCCGATTAAACCAGGGGTTTCTCATCTTCATTTCACTGTTTTCCTTTTGGATTAGGACAAACTTGTTTGCTGTGTCCTTGCACTTCTGCGTGATGTAGTCCATCATGTCTTGGGCCGTCTTTCCCCTGAGCTCTGTTTCCCATGCTATATCTGTTAGGAATTTTCTTATCTCCTCATAGTTTCCCTTTCGGTATGCTAACCTTTTGTTTTCAGTATCCCTCCTCGAGTTCAATAACCCTTCTTCAATCAGGTACTCAAACACCAGTACACTGTGGTCGCACATTCCTACTGGGTCCTCAAAACCGATTTCTCTTATGTCGGAGTCGTTCAGAGTGAAGACTAGGTCGAGTGTCGCTGGTTCGTCATTTTCTCTCATCTTTGTGAGTTCTCTGACATGCTGGGTTAAAACGTTTCTAGTCACCACCTCCAATAGTTTAGCTCTCTACGTATCCTCGCCTCCATGCGGTTCCTTGTTCTCCCAGTCAATCCTTCCGTGATTGAAGTCCCCCATGATGAGCAGGTGGGATCTGTTTCTACAGGCAGCAGAGGCTGCCCTCTCAATTATAGTATTAACTGTCATGTTGTTGTTTTCATCTCTTGCCTGGGTCTTCTGTCATTTGGTGGAGGGTTGTATATTACTGCTACTACTATTCTTGGTCCTCCCATTGTCATGGTGCCTGCTATGTAGTCTCTGAACTCCTCACAGCCCGGGATGGCCATCTCCTTAAAACTCCATTCCTTTGTCATGAGTAGGGCCACTCCGCCTCCCCCTACCTTCCCTATATTTCCTTATTACTGTGTACTCCTGGGGAAACACGCCATTTGTGTGTGTGTGTGTGTGTGTGTGTGTGTGTGTGTGTGTGTGTGTGTGTGTGTGTGTGTACATTGAAGCTCTCCCACTCACTTGTACATGGCAGCTTGCAGAGGTTCTGGCCGTTGTAGGGGTCGGAGCACCAGTACCTGTCGTTAATCTGGAGGAGTCCGTAGTCTGTGCTACCATCCCAGTTGTTCCTGTTGATGGCTTGGGTGTTGAACGATGACTCAAACTCCGCGATACACACAACTGTTGTGGTATAGGTGTGGTTGTGTAGAGGCGTAGTGACGGTGTGGTGGAGGTCATTAGTGGTGGTGGTGTGTCGAGGCAGAATAGTTGTGATGGAAGCGAGATTGTGTTGTGTGATGATGGTAGTGGTGTTGGTAGGGGGATGATGATGGTAGTGGTGTTGGTAGGGGGATGATGATGGTAGTGGTGGTAGTAGTGGTTGAAATAATGGTCAGTGGAAGGAGAGAAATGTAACTATTAGACAAAAAATCAAAACCATTTATTAAAGAAAATAAAACTCATTAAAATTATTAAAAAACATATAAACAATAAAACACATAATCCTCATACTCATCTGTACCACCTAGTGGGTACAGAGGCTGTACCACCTGGTGGGTACAGAGGCTGTACCACCTAGTGGGTACAGAGGCTGTACCACCTGGTGGGTACAGAGGCTGTACCACCTGGTGGGTACAGAGGCTGTACCACCTGGTGGGTACAGAGGCTGTACCACCTGGTGGGTACAGAGGCTGTACCACCTAGTGGGTACAGAGGCTGTACCACCTGGTGGGTACAGAGGCTGTACCACCTAGTGGGTACAGAGGCTGTACCACCTGGTGGGTACAGAGGCTGTACCACCTAGTGGGTACAGAGGCTGTACCACCTAGTGGGTACAGAGGCTGTACCACCTAGTGGGTACAGAGGCTGTACCACCTGGTGGGTACAGAGGCTGTACCACCTAGTGGGTACAGAGGCTGTACCACCTAGTGGGTACAGAGGCTGTACCACCTGGTGGGTACAGAGGCTGTACCACCTGGTGGGTACAGAGGCTGTACCACCTAGGTGGGTACAGAGGCTGTACCACCTAGTGGGTACAGAGGCTGTACCACCTAGTGGGTACAGAGGCTGTACCACCTAGTGGGTACAGAGGCTGTACCACCTGGTGGGTACAGAGGCTGTACCACCTAGTGGGTACAGAGGCTGTACCACCTAGTGGGTACAGAGGCTGTACCACCTAGTGGGTACAGAGGCTGTACCACCTAGTGGGTCCAGAGGCTGTACCACCTAGTGGGTACAGAGGCTGTACCACCTAGTGGGTACAGAGGCTGTACCACCTAGTGGGTACAGAGGCTGTACCACCTAGTGGGTACAGAGGCTGTACCACCTAGTGGGTACAGAGGCTGTACCACCTAGTGGGTACAGAGGCTGTACCACCTCGTGGGTACAGAGGCTGTACCACCTAGTGGGTACAGAGGCTGTACCACCTAGTGGGTACAGAGGCTGTACCACCTAGTGGGTACAGAGGCTGTACCACCTCGTGGGTACAGAGGCTGTACCACCTAGTGGGTACAGAGGCTGTACCACCTCGTGGGTACAGAGGCTGTACCACATAGTGGGTACAGAGGCTGTACCACCTAGTGGGTACAGAGGCTGTACCACCTAGTGGGTACAGAGGCTGTACCTCAGAGGCTTTGAACTGCCCGGCGTCGGAGTATTTCAAAGAAATCAACAGCCTCTAGGAAACAAACTTCCCCTTATTTCCTCTTAATGATTATATATATATATATATATATATATATATATATATATATATATATATATATATATATATATATATATATATATATATATATATATATATATATATATATATATATATATATATATATATATATATATATATATATATATATATATATATATATATATATATATATATATATATATATGCAGAATAACCACATATGAAAAATAGAAAATGCTTAACGCGTTTTCGGCTAATTCGCCTTCATCAGAGCAAAGTAGAATCTAATGATGAAGGCGAATTAGCCGAAAACGCGTTAAGCATTTTCTATTTTTCATATGTGGTTATTCTGCATACTTGGATCAGTGTTTTTGTGATCATTGTTGCATATATATATATATATATATATATATATATATATATATATATATATATATATATATATATATATATATATATATATATATATATATATATATATATATATATATATATATATATATATATATATATATATATATATATATATATATATATATATATATATATATTAGATCAAATATGTTTAATGTTTGTAAACACTTTATATTAACAAATGTGAACAATTAAGGTATGGGTTCGTACGGTTCTTGACGACGTCTCTGGAAAGATGGTATGTGTTCTCTAAGAGGGCAGCCAGCTCGCACTTGGTGAAGACCTTCCCCGAGGAGGACCCCATGGTCGCCGCCACCACCGCCACCACCACCCACCACACCATCCTGGGGGAGAGCACGGCACTGTGGGAGAGAGAGAGAGAGAGAGTAAAGTTTCTCAGGTCAGGCGACAAATAAACTGATGTAGGATTATATCTCTTAACTCACAGTGTCATTAGGAACATCAGCATCATGACTAATGAGCCCTTAGTTAAAAAAAACAGACAGAGAGAGAGAGAGAGAGAGAGAGAGAGAGAGAGAGAGAGAGAGAGAGAGAGAGATATTACATTTAGAACAATTATAATTCGCTGTAATTGTTCATCTAATCAGCTCTAATTTTTAATCTAATCTGTTCTAATCTTTAATCAAATCTGCTGCAATCCGTAATCTAATCTGATCTAATCTTTACACTACTCTGATGTAATCTCGTCTCTAACAGTAACATTCACTTCATTGCCATGTGTGGCAGATCACGCCATTTAGACGCACACGAAAGGTGTTAAAGGTTAAGCGATCTGCAGGTATCAGGCCGTGTCCAGAGCCCTCTTGATCTATATGCATCAAGTCCTGCCTTAAACCCTCAGTAAGCTATAGGCATTAAGTCCTGGACATGAGCCTCACTATAAGCTTTACAAATATCTGGGAACAAGGCTTTTCTTCAGTAAATTTCTACATATAATGTCGTACTTGATTTGAATATGATGACTTAAATTAACTTGCCCTAACCTAAGCAAGACCAACCTAAGCCCACCAACGCTAACCTAACCTAACCTAAACTAACCTAACCTAACACAACTAAGTCAGTAATGTTAATAATAAAATATAAATTTTTTGTTAGGAAAGAACCAATTTGGAAAGAAATATTTGAAAATAACGAAAATCCGTCTGTTTGTTAGGTAAATCGTGGCGTTGCTTACTTAGCCAAGTAGTCCGCCAAGTAGGTTAGGTTAGGTAAAGTAGGATAAGTAACGCTAAGTTAAATTTCCATGTTAGTTTGAACTCAAAAGAAAGATTAAAAACATAAATAATATAATGGAAACATTTATCATTTCGTAAGAAAAAATATATAATTTCGGGAAACTCAACTTGTTAGGCAACTTGGCCTATTAGGTACTATTCCTATGTTAATAACATAGTATTTCACTTACCTAAATATTTTCCTTCGCGGAAATAGAGAGAACACGTCCGACTCTGACCAAGTCCGGTGAGCAAGTGAGCTGAGACTACACCTTCCCTACCAGGATGCCTTGCCCGCACACCAACCCGCCAATGGGAGATCACTGTACACAGTGACCAATGGGAGATCACTGTACACAGTGATCAATGAGAGATCACTGTACACAATGATCAATGGGAGATCACTGTACACAGTGATCAATGAGAGATCACTGTACACAATGATGAATGGGAGATCACTGTACACAGTGATCAATGAGAGATCACTGTACACAATGATGAATGGGAGATCACTGTACACAGTGACCAATGGGAGATCACTGTACACAGTGATCAATGAGAGATCACTGTACACAATGATGAATGGGAGATCACTGTACACAGTGATCAATGAGAGATCACTGTACACAATGATGAATGGGAGATCACTGTACACAGTGACCAATGGGAGATCACTGTACACAGTGATCAATGAGAGATCACTGTACACAATGATGAATGGGAGATCACTGTACACAGTGATCAATGAGAGATCACTGTACACAATGATGAATGGGAGATCACTGTACACAGTGACCAATGGGAGATCACTGTACACAGTGATCAATGAGAGATCACTGTACACAATGATGAATTGGAGATCACTGTACACAGTGATCAATGAGAGATCACTGTACACAATGATGAATGGGAGATCACTGTACACAGTGACCAATGGGAGATCACTGTACACAGTGATCAATGAGAGATCACTGTACACAATGATGAATGGGAGATCACTGTACACAGTGACCAATGAGAGATCACTGTACACAGTGACCAATGAGAGATCACTGTACACAGTGACCAATGAGAGATCACTGTACACAGTGACCAATGGGAGATCACTGTACACAGTGACCAATGAGAGATCACTGTACACAGTGACCAATGAGAGATCACTGTACACAGTGACCAATGGGAGATCACTGTACACAGTGACCAATGAGAGATCACTGTACACAGTGACCAATGAGAGATCACTGTACACAGTGACCAATGAGAGATCACTGTACACAGTGACCAATGAGAGATCACTGTACACAGTGACCAATGAGAGATCACTGTACACAGTGACCAATGAGAGATCACTGTACACAGTGACCAATGAGAGATCACTGTACACAGTGACCAATGAGAGATCACTGTACACAGTGACCAATGAGAGATCACTGTACACAGTGACCAATGAGAGATCACTGTACACAGTGACCAATGAGAGATCACTGTACACAGTGACCAATGAGAGATCACTGTACACAGTGACCAATGAGAGATCACTGTACACAGTGACCAATGAGAGATCATGGAGGGACTTAAAGCTCTGATTTCTTATGACTTAGATTCTTATTCATCTGTTTTCTTAAAAAAAAAATAGCATCTGGTAGTAAAGCTTCTAGTTTCTTTTGGATGCAGCTTAATACAGCTCTGGTTATGGGTTCTATGGTTATTAAAACATCAAGAGACCCAAAAGCTGTAATCTTGCAGCACCTCAGTGTGGTAATATAGAGTGGACTTGTGTATTTGGTTGTGTATGAATATAGTTTATGAGCAGTGTATGAATATAGTTTATGAGCAGTGTATGAATATAGTTTATGAGCAGTGTATGAATATAGTTTATGAGCAGTGTATGAATATAGTTTATGAGCAGTGTATGAATATAAACTAAGTCATTACTTGTATGGAGAGCGGCGAGTGTGCCGGTGATCAATACCGTGTACAATGTGCAGGTGGTCATAATGATCCCTGCACGTGGCCTCATTAGGCACGGCACAGAACGATAACATATTTGATTAATTATCTATATCCATAGGAGAGAATGTCTGTGTCTGTCCGTCTGTCTGTCTGTCTCAGTCAGTTTCCCTGTCTGTCTCCGGGTCCAGATGCTTGTGGCTAGTCTCACGGGACATTCTCTGGTGGTTTCTGACACTTGGCCACACTCATAGGGTGATTAGGATCGACCCCATTCCCCACTTTAGGTAGGACTGGCTCCTATTGCAACAATCACAGATTCCTTTAAAACCTTTGCCCAACCACTTGGGCTGGACGGTAAAGCGACGGTCTCGCTTCATGCAGGTTCGAGTTCACTTCCCGACCTTCCAAGTGGTGGGTACCATTCCTTTCCCCCGTCCCATCCCAGATGCTTATCCTGACCCCTTCCCAGTGTTATAGCCGTAATGGCTTGACGCTTTATCCTGATGGTTCCCTTCACTTCCATTGAAGCCTGAAATTTGGTTTTGATTGTTTATAGTATCAAAGTCAGTAGTGTTGATGCAACATTACTGGAGTATGTTTAGCTGAGTGAGAGAGACAGTGTGATGGAGAGAAAACCAGGAGGGAGGGAGGGAGGGAGGGAGAGTGAGAGATAGAGACCTGGGCTACCTATCAGTACTTGCCTATCAGTGTCTACGGGGGGAGTGAGGTCTAGCTCTTCATGCCCGGCTACTAGTCTTGTACCTGTGGCGTTACAACTTATCTACTCTGACTTTCATATACTCTGTCAACTCTTGCCTTAAAGTTGTGGATGGAGGAGGCTTCCACAACTTCCACTGTTAGAGCATCCCACTTGTTAACTACCTGTAACGGGCACGAGTACGTTCTTGCGTCCCTTTGGCTCACTTGCACCTCCGGCTTCCACCTGTGTCCTCTTGTCCAGCTTTCTCTCAGTCTGAAGAGTCTGTCCTTGTCCACTTTATCTATTCCCCTCAGAATTTTGTAAGTTGTGATCATATCCCCTCTGTTTCATCTATCCTCGAGGGTTGTGAGGTCTAGCTCCATTAGCTTATGTTCGTGGCTAAGTCCTCTTAGTTCTGGCACCAATCTTGTTACATACGCTTGTATAAAGTGTGTGCGTGCGTGTGCGTGCGTGCGTGTGCGTGTGTGCGTGTGTGTGTGTGTGTGTGTGTGTGTGTGTGTGTGTGTGTGTGTGTGTGTGTGTGTGTGTGTGTGTGTGTGTGTGTGTGTGTGTGTGTGTGTGTGTGTGTGTGTGTGTGTGTGTGTGTGTGTGTGTGTGTGTACTCACCTATTTGTGCTTGCAGGATCGAGCAACCAGCCATCGGTTGTTTACAGCAATGACTCCTGTCCCATTTCCCTATCATACCTAATTTTAAAAGTATGAATAGAGTTTGCTTCCACAACCTGTTCCCCAAGTGCATTCCATTTTTCCACTACTCGCACGCTAAAAGAAAACTTCCTAACATCTCTGTGACTCATCTGAGTTTCCAGTTTCCTCCCATGTCCCCTCGTTCTGTTATTATTACGTGTGAACATTTCATCTATTTCCACTTTGTCAATACCCCTGAGTATTTTATATGTCCCTATCATATCTCCTCTCTCCCTTCTTTTCTCTAGTGTCGTAAGGTTCAGTTCCTTCAGACGCTCTTTATATCCCATCCCTCGTAACTCTGGGACAAGCCTCGTCGCAAACTTCTGGACCTTCTCCAGTTTCCTTATGTGTTTCTTCAGGTGGGGGCTCCATGATGGCGCGGCATACTCTAAGACGGGTCTCACGTAGGCAGTGTAAAGCGCCCTAAAAGCCTCCTCATTTAGGTTTCTGAATGATGTTCTAATTTTCGCCAGTGTAGAGTACGCTGCTATCGATGTCCTATTTATATGTGCCTCAGGAGTTAGATTAGGTGTCACATCCGCTCCAAGGTCTCTTTCTCGAATCGTTACAGGTAGGCTGTTCCCCTTCATTGTGTACTGTCCCTATGGTCGCCTATCAACTGATCCCATTTCCATAACTTTACATTTACTGGTGTTAAACTCCAGTAGCCATTTCCCTGACCATCTCTGCAACCTGTTTAAGTCCTCTCGGAGGATCCTACAATCCTCGTCTGTTACAACTCTT